CCACCACACACGCACGCACACACGCACGCACACACCACACACGCACACACGCACCAACACAGGTACACACGTACCCATGCAAATACCCACACCCACACACACGCAGAGACACCACGCGCCTCCGCACGCATTGCACACACACGCACCCGCCATGCACTGGCCGCACGCCAAACCGCACGCACGCACCCGCCAACGCATGCAGCACAAACGCACCCGCACGCGACCCGCACACACGCACAAGCTCGCACGCCATGCACAGACAGGCCTATAGCGTGGCCGCACAGGTGCCGCACGGCACCCGCACGCAATGCACACACACGCAGCACCCGCATGCACGCACCCGCACGCACCCGCACGCACGCACACACACGCACCCGCACGCACGCACCCGCACGCATGCACACACAGGCGCCAACACGCACACTCACGTACTCACATTTCTCCTTGTACTTTGCTTTCATCGTCACGTTGGAATGTCTCCCGATGTCTATGTAGAACAGCAGAGCTTCCTCGTTATTGCCAGGCACCTCATCCCCAGGCCCGCCCAAAATGCAGTAGACCCTTCACGCGGACAAAACAAACCAGCGATAAACCCTGTTCACAAACCCCTCGTAAATCATCAACGCTTTAATAACGCCGCTCCGGGAAATTCGTCGGCGACGCTAAAATCAATTTGCGACATTACCTACACAAACATCAGAGGTTACGGTTGATTAACCACGCGCTAACGTTGAGTAAAGATCAGGGTCCTAATAGCTGGTAATATCTAACCATCGTTGTCACTACTACAGGCTGTGCCTTTGCCTATACGGCTGTCTGTGACACTGCATCTGACACTGCCTGTGACAATACATGTGACAGTGTCCTGTGACACTACAGGTAACACCAACTTTGACAACGCCTGTGACAATGCCTGTGACACTGGCTGTGGGAGTGGCAACGAGGGTTAGGTACCAGAGCGATAGACTTACCAGTCGTTGGCAACTCTCCAAGCTCCCTCGTTGTACTCGGAATGAAACATTTCATGATCTGAAACGATGAAAACGCGAAACATAGGATTTCGAAATCGATACGCGTGCACGAACAATCCCGAGCCAGCGCCGTAAAAAACTTGAATGCCACACCGAAGGATACATCATCCTAAAAAACAAACATGACATTTTACGTGTAGTGAAAGCAGCACAATCGCGCAGTTGTCTCGTAATGAGATCTCCGGCAAATACATCACTGTCTGTTGTTAGTGAAAACGCTGCCAAATATACAACCACCCACTAATAAAAACACTGCCATTATATAATTGCTATAGTTACAATTACAAAAATACATTTAATACTTAAAACCAAAATTTTTTTTTTATTATATTTTAACTTTTTATTGCCTTTACAGAAATTTTAATAACTACCGAAATTTCAGTTATTAAATCCACATTTATAATAACGTTCATCGAAATCGTAATTATCAACAAAGCAAGTATCAAATAGTAATGTGTATATTTCACGCGCAGAACATACACAGCTCGTCAATCAAAATTAATCAAACATTAATAATGAAAATAGTAATGAACAGATATATTAACATTACACAATACACGGGGTAATGTAAAGTTAATGTAAATGTAAATGTAAGTATAACGGGGTAACATTATTACAATATAATAACCATTAAAATAGTAACACGTATTATAATAATGTATTATAATAACGTAATTTAGATTATATTAAATAAGTAACACGTATATATTAACATTGTAGATTATTATAACAGGAGCACGTACACAGCTCGTCGGTGAGCACGGGGTCGGTGGCGTCGATGATGCCTGTCACGTGGTAGACTCCGTACGGCATCGGCAGCGACAGTCCGAGCGTGAAGGGCGTGTCCTTCAGTCCGCGGTACGTGTAGCTGTTGTTACGCACGGTCACTCGCCTCTACAAGAGAGCGCGCGAGAGAGAGAGAGATAGATAGATAGAGCGAGAGAAGGAAAGAGAGAGAGAGAGAGAGAGAAAGACGAGAAGAGACTGAAGATATGGAAGAGAGAAAGAGAGAAGAGGAGAGCAGAGAGAGAGAGATATAGAGAGAGAGAAGAGAGACGAAGATGCGACAGAGAGAGTCAGAAAAGAGAACTGCTACATTCTCCTTATCTCCTCATTACGAGGATAACGACGACGACTCGTCCCCGTGTGTTTTACACAGCCGGTTCTCTACCCCTGCGTCGTCGCCAGCGATAAACCCAACAATCTGGCAGCCGCGCGACACAACCGTCTGCTAACCGCATGTTCTACTCGCCGCGCGAAAAACGCCATGCAATTTTAGCGAGAATTTAGCCCGGAAATAGACAGTAATGAAGCATGAAATACAAAAAAAGTCCGCGACCGCCAGCGAGCGGAGAGCGCTCGTCTTGTCGGATGATGCGTTAACAGCCTTGCAGCAGCGGCGGTCGACTAACTAGACCGACCACGCGCGTTCCGGGCATTACAGCACTTACAGGTACACACAGTTACAGCGTACAGGCTTACCACAGTCCGCTACATTACAGCGTACACACAGGTTACAGGCCTTACACGTTTACACAAGTTACACACCAGTTACAGTTACAGGTTACCACACAGTTAACAGTTACACACAGCTTTACACACAGCTTACAGCGCTTACAACAACAGGTTACAGTTACACACAAGTTACAGGTTACACACAGGTTAAGTACACACGGTTACAAGTTACGAGTTACACACAGCGTTACAGGCGTTACATCACAGTTTACACACAGCTTACACACAGGTTCACACCGCTTACAGGTTACACACAGTTACAGTTAACAGGTTACAGGTTACACACAGTAACAGTTACACCACAGGTTACTACAAACAGAGTTACACACAGTAACAGGTTACAGCGTTACACACAGGTTACAGCTCGTTACACAAGCGTTACAGTTACACACAGTTAACACACAGTTACACACAGCTTACAGGTTACAGGTTTACACACCAGATACAGGTTACAGTTACAGGCTACACACACGTACAGGTTACACTACAGGTACAGGCCTACACACAGGTACATTAACACACCAGGGTTACAGGTTACACCGCACTGCACACAAGCTTACAGGTTACACACAGGTACAACACAGGCTTACACAACCGTTACAGGTTACAGGCTTACACACAGTTACAGGTTACAGGTACAGCTTACAACACCAGGTTAACAGGTTACACAACAGGCTGACACAACGCGTTACACACAGTACAGCTTACAGTACTTTTTTTTTTCACACACCGTACAGGTTACACACATGTTACATGTTACACACACGCGTTACACACAGGTTACACACAGGATTACAGGTTACAGGTCACACACACGTTACAGCGTTACAGGTTACAGGCTACACACACGGTTACATGGCTTACACACAGTACATCACAGTTACACACAGATTACAGGTACAGTTACACTACAGTTAACCAAGTACACTCACAGTGTTACAGTTACAGGTTACACACAGTACAGGTTACAGTACACACAGTTATCCAGTTACACACAGGTACAGGTTACAGTACACACAGGTTACGTTACACAACGTTACAGGTTACAGCTTACAGGTTAACACACACGTTACATGTTACCAGTTACACACAGGTTACAGCTTACAGGTTACCACACAGGACAGTACAGGTTACACACATGGTTACAGTTACACACAGGCTTACAGATTACACACAGGTTACAGGTACACACAGCGTTTACAGGTATACAGGATTACACACAGGTACAGGTTACACTACAGGTACAATTACAGTTACACACACGTTACAGTTTACAGGTTACACACAAGCTTACAGCGTTACACACGCTTACAGGCTTACACACAGGTTACAGCTTACATACACACAGGTACAGTTACCAGGTTAACAGCCTTACACACAGCCTGCTTACACAGGTTACACACAGCGTACAGATTACAGCGTTACACACAGTGTTACAGGTACAGTCTATACAGGTTACACCGTTAACAGGTTACAGTTACAGGTTACACACAGGTTACATGGCTTACACACAGTTACAAGGATTACACACAGGTACACCGATTACAGGTTACACACACGTTACAGTAAGTTTCACACAGGTTACAGGTTACAGGTTACACACAGGTTACAGGTTACAGGTTACCCACCCCCCCAACCAGTTACAGGTTACACACAGGTTTCCTACAGCGTTACACACACCGTTACAGGTTACACACAGCGTACAGTTACCAGCTACACACAGCGTTACAGGTTTAACACACTTACAGGATTTACAGTTTACACAAGTTACAGTAACACACAGTTAAACATTACCACACAGTTACAGTTTACACACACCGTACACACAGTTACAGGCTTACATACAGCACACTACATGCTTACAGCTTACACACATGTACAGTTACAGCTTACACTACAGTTTACAGGTTACGGTTACACACAGGTACACGTTTACACGTTACACACAGTTACAGGTTACAGGTTACACAACCAGGTTACAGTCCTACACTCTCACACACAGTGTTACAGTTAACAGGTTACACATCAAGTTACAGGTTACAGACAGTATACACCACAGTTCGCTTATAGGTTCACACACAGGTTACAGGTTAATCGACACTATATGCTGTGGCACGTACGTCGCGTCTCTCTCTCTCTCCTCTCTCTCTACTCTTTCATCGATCTGTGCGAGCGCCGCAGGCATGCACTCTCCCATTTCCTCTCTTCTCTCTCTCCCACATACACATCTCTCATCTTCTCTCTCTCTCTCTCTCTCTCTCTCTCATCTCTCTCTCTCTCTCCCCACACAATCCTCTCTCTCTCTCTCTCTCTCTCTCTCTCTCTCTCTGCTCTCTTCTCTCTCTCTCTCTCTCTCTCTCTCTCCTCTCTCCCACCACATCACATCTCTCTCTCTCTCTCTCTCTCTCTCTCTCTCTCTCACACAACAAACATCTACTCTCTCTCTCTCATCTCTCTCTCGTCTCTCTCTCTCTCTACTCTCTCCTCCCCAACACACACACATCTCTCTCTCTCACTCTCTCTCTCTCTCGTCTCTGTTCTCTCTCTCTCTCTCTTCTCTCTCTCTCTCTCTCTCTCTCTCTCTCTCTTCTCTCTACCTCCTGCTCTCTTCTCTAATATTTTACACCCTATTCTAGATCTCCGCCCGACATTTCCCTCTCTCAGTTCTCCCTCGCACCTAACTCCTCCCTTACAACTAACGTACGTGCGGTAGCCGCGACATTACTATACGTATATATACAACTCACCATGTTGTCGAAGTGGACGCGGACTTTCATCGTCGTGCTACCCTCCTTGCTGCCACGGTCGATCATGTCTCTCCTCAGCAGCATCGCGTAGTCCGGCCCGTCCAGCTCGTCAGAGTCCGGTATCTCCACCTCCGCCAGGTCCACGCTGTTGTAGTTGGGCTTCGTTTTGCCATCGCCATACTGTTAAGGTGTTATGGTATGTGGTATAGGTACATATGTCAGTAGTAGGTGGTATATCGTAAGAGTCAGGTATCTCTACCTCCGCCAGGTCCACGCTGTTGTAGTTGGGCTTCGTTTTGCCATCGCCGTACTGTTAAGGTGTTATAGTAGGTGGTATAGGTATATAGGTAAGTAGTATGTGGTATAGGTACATATGTCAGTAGTAGGTGGTATATCGTCAGAGTCAGGTATCTCCACCTCCGCCAGGTCCACGCTGTTGTAGTTGGGCTTCGTCTTTCCGTCGCCGTACTGTTAAGGTGTTATAGTAGGTGGTATAGGTATATAGGTAAGTAGTATGTGGTATAGGTACATATGTCAGTAGTATGTGGTATATCGTCAGAGTCAGGTATCTCTACCTCCGCCAGGTCCACGCTGTTGTAGTTGGGCTTCGTTTTGCCATCGCCGTACTGTTCAGGTGCGTAAAGGTGTTACAGCAGGTGCGTAAAGGTGTTACAGCAGGTGTGTAAAGGTGTTACAGCAGGTGCGTAAAGGTGTTACAGCAGGTGTGTAAAGGTGTTACAGCAGGTGTGTAAAGGTGTTATAGAAGGGACAGGTGAGGGTATCATTGCCCATCGCACTCTGTCGCTGTCTCTCTCTCTCTCCCTCTCTCTTCCTATCTAGTTATCTATCTCCTGCTCTCTCTCTATGCACGCACACGAACGCAGACACACATAATATGTTCTTTATAAGCGTCTATGAAATACGACAAAGTGTTACCAACAATAGGTTAATAATAATGTACATGCATGCATGCCCTTTTACCACTCTTACATTGTGATCGATCCCCCAAAGTCGAAATCGATCCCAATTGGTTAACCAAACTTAAACCAACTTAAGTTAACCAAATCAAAATGCTTTTCACAAAAGAGTTAACTCGCATTAGTTAGAAGAAAAGAGCCGATTTTGCTTGGTCTTTCTCTCGCCACTATCATGTCGGATGTGATAGCACTTACAATTGGTCTCAGGTCTGGGTGAAACAGGACGTATCCGTTGTTTGTGATCGCAAAAGAGTAGCCATTCGGTCCTATCTGCAAAGCATCGTTTGGTATGATTAAACGATAAACGTTAACAAATAACGAATAAAGAAACTAGAATATAGAAGAAGATAGAAGGCGAACGAAAACGAGATATAGTGCGAATGTTGCATCAAAGCTATTATAAGATCCAATAATAGCCGTTATTTTATAAACTTGATCGAACGCCTGCGTGTTATAATAGAGCTGTAATAAGATATTATATATATATATATATATATATATATATATATATATATATATATATATATATATATATATAATAAGATCTATTAATAGCCGCTATATTGGAGTGTTATTCGGGAGACTGCGTGCCGACCTGAAATGGTGGCGTAAGCTTCGTGAGTTCCTTTAGCGGCACGTCGGTCCCCATGACCCCCAGCAAGTTCCCCAATTTCTTAGAGGAATTCTTTCTGTCGAACACGGGTTGTGCGACTGACGTCATCATGCGTAGACCCTGGCAACATGATGATATTAATACAATTAGGAAATCAGACAAGGTTATCGCGATTAGGAAAAGTTTTGGTCGCCTTCATTTTATATTTTCCTAAGTGTATTTTACGTTCGAGTTATAAGCAGGGGTTTCGTGCAGTTAATCATAAAAAGCTAGTGTAATTCTGTTTATGCTACAGCAGCAATTAAATTTTACATACAAGGTTTCAGTTCCGTTAGTAAACAACTTAACCGTTTCAATATAAAAGTGACTAGTAATTAAAATAGTGAAACCATAAGAGAGAGGGAGAGAAAGAGAGGGAGAAAAAAAAGAGAGAGAGAGAGAGAGAGAGAG